TACTAGGCCTTTAGTGATTATGGCATCTAATCCTATCGAGATTTTGACATGAAAGCATAAGTTTAGTTAAGAAACGGAAACGCGGCAAATACTGCATTCACATAATTTCTTGTTAATTGTGAAGATGAAATAAAAGCAAAGAAATCACAACGGCTAATGATGAGACAGAAAAGGCGTCAACATAAACTAAAAGTAAATTCACGTCAACTGTCTGAAGCGCGGAAACTAAGACGAGAGTAAACATAACGCGATTTCCTTTGGCTTTGCATCGATAATCGATCGTTTCGCCCACGAGCTCGTTTCGTTAATGACCAAGGCAAGTCGCTAACGTTTCATAGGTCGAGGTTATGATTCCATTGGCTGAACTTGATCGACTATCAATCAATCAATCCAAAAGTCGTAGGGGAATTAGGTTATTTCGATACAAACTGGAGGCAGATTCGTTACATAGACAAAGTCGATTCAACACACAGAAATTTGATTATATCAACTAAGTTGAAATAGTAAATTGGCCACTGTAACAACACACAAGCTACAAGTCAAATCATTGCGATACAAAGTAAAGGATAACTTTGGAGGTTTTCATTCGTCTAGGGTGCAATAATCCAAAGTGTACCTAAGAAGCACCGAAACTGAGCGAATCTTACACAAGTGCAGATGCTTCCAACGCGAGTTTCGAATTACACACAAGCGACTCGCGTAACACACTATCAAAGATCAATAACCTTCGAAGGAAACAAAACTAAAAAAAGGCGGTGGTGGAAAAAAACTTTACGGAAAAAAACTTTACGGAACTACGTATGAGTCGCGGAGGTTTTTATGTTAGCGAACTGACCTGAGACGTTTGCGAAACGACTAACACATTGGCGAACTGGTAGTTAGCGAAACGACTCGTACGCGATTATAGACAATACATCTTCTTACACCTCTCACGCCTGGAAGCAATTTCTCCTGATGGTATCACCCCCAACGTCGAGCAAAAGAGCCCCGCAAAGTGTTGTAAAGTGCCCTGCACAGTGTTGTAAGATTGGCCCTGAAAAGCCCTATGGGGAGTGGTCAACTAACCTATGTATGTATGTATGTATGTATGTATGTATGTATGTCTGTATGTATGTGTAAGAGCAGTGAGAAGAGCGAAGAAAAACATCAACCAGGATAATTCCAAATTTCCAGAGCCAAACTAATATGGAATAAGTGACGCCAGCTTTACAAACACACTCCGACTCTTGACTGTCTAAATCGAATCTCAGAAAGAAAAAGCAGGGAAATGGACCAAGGTAATTTCAAATTGTCAGAGCCAAATTTATATGGTGTATGTGACGCCAGCTTTGCAAACAGACTCCCACTCTTGTTTATCGTAATCGAATTACAGCTAACAAGAAAAAGCAAGGGTCCGGCTAAAACAGGACAGTTACATGACACGATGATCTAATCAAATGTGATTCTAACACAACAATACAGTTTATATTATTGGCATAAATATGTGTTTTGGAGCCGACTCAGAGTCATTTTAGCCTGAACCGCTAGGCGAGGGTTGAAATGAGCTTTGCGAAGGGCTTAAAACATATTTATGCCCAAGAAACTGAGTAAACCGTATCACTATTTTTATTACTTTGGAGGGTTTTGAAAAAATGATAAAAACACAGTTTGACTAATAGCGCCAGCGTGCCAGTGAGCTAAATTGTGCCACAATCTCCATGTTAGCCCGCAAAAGGCGCAACAAAGCCATAAAAAGTTATGATAATAATGCTTCTTCCTTCCTGACAGGGCTCTTGATCTTGTCTACTTATTATTCAACGTATCGAATTGTTTATGTGAATTCTTGATAAACCATATTCTTATCATGCAAAAAACTCACACTTAAAATCAGTTGTTTCACTTAACAGATTCCTCTCTCGGTTTCCACTGCACATACCATTCCTATATATATGAACTTCATATATTTCATTGTATCTGATTTATCATCACGGGTTTATCACGAATCAACTTAACCGCCTGCTCTCAGTTGGCTTGTTAGCTCAATTGGTAGAGCGCTGCACTAGTATCGCAGACTCAAATATGTCGATTCAACTTATTAAAAAATTGGCTAGATGTTAAATGGATGCTTTAATGGTGGAAAACAATATTTTTAGCAACGTTAAATGTAAACAAACCTGCAGCGAGCTTCGTGTTTACATTAAAAATTGGTCTCCCTCGCGTTGTTCCGGTGCTGCGGTGGGTCTTGTTTGTTCGACAGATATTTGTCTCTCCACACTCAGAGTTAGAACAGCATATGCAGAGTAGTGATGCTAGCCCAGAGACTGTTTCTTTTATGCAGTTGGAGAGCCATAGAGCTGCCCCACTAGTATCGCAGAGGTCAGTGGTTCCAATCCCGTACAGGCTTGATTTTTTTTCAGGTCTGATTTTCGCTATTCCATAAATAGCGCTCTCTACTGCAAGGATCGTGCATCAGACGTACATACCATTGCTTTAAGCACAAGCAGGTCTACTTATATTGTTGCTCGAGGGACGTTTCGTAAGAAGGGAGAGTTTTGAATCTTTGCATTTTAGTAAAGAAAAGTGAAGCTTTCAGAAAGATAAAGGATTTATAGTAACATGGACTTACCTAATTTGGAGGTATTAGTGCTTTTTTGTGGTCATCACTTGTTTCATATGAACAGCCCTTTCCGAGAACACCTCTGTACACGGACGCTTATTAATGCAAGGTCTTCCTCTGGGTTGTTTATTCTGTGAGATTTAATTTTTTGTCTTATGGGGGTTATTTAGCGAAGGAAGCACTTTTTAAGTGCCTTGTTTACTTCGATCTGATAGAAATCTCGGAGGTGAAACTAAGAAGAATACTTTTCTCACGACCCTTGACTCGTGTATTGTCGAGGGGAACACGTCCTTAAGCTCTCATTGGCTGAAATGTTGACAGTGGGTGATTTGTGTTCCTCAGTGACTAAGTTTACAGAAAAACCTCATGAGAAAGGTTTAGGACAAACTCATTAGGGTGCGATGTGTAACTTATGGGCGAATATCTTCGAGCTTTGTCCTGAGTAAAGGTGCACAAAATTCTGACAATTCGTGGGTCTTAAAATAGAATGGCCAAACGTTCAGTAGCTATGTCTAAATGACAACGCTTTTAAAAGATACAGGAAAGGATGTCTACATCGCCTGGAGCTTTACAAAGGAGTCAGCAATTTAGTTATAGGAAATTTACTTCAAATTGAATATCTTTTTAACCGTTCACACCTTAGCATATGTAGATTTAACAATTATTCGGCGAAGGCGAGGCGAATATCGTCGAATAATCACCGAGACGAACTCGAGGGGATTATTCGACATTAGTATATATTAAAACAGTGGGTAGCGTTTAGAGCGTGCTCTGATTGGCTGGTGAAACTCCGAATATCCTTTGCTATTTACCTCCGAGCAACTCGGGAAAAAATGGCGTCCCGGTTTGTATCCGTGACAAGCGAAGAAATCACTCAAATCAATTTTTGGTGGTGTATATTATCTCTGTTTTAGTATATACTAAAACAACTATTCACCTCCAGTTCGGTGAGTAGTTGTTAAATATTCATCGAACCTGAGGCGAATAATTGTTTTAGTATCATTTCAGAGCTGAACAACAGAGAAGATTCTAAAATCATAACATTTTAGTAACATTTATTAACATTTTATTTTAACATTTTATTTAAACCGCATGGAGCGGTTTATATAGCGTCATATAAAGAACCGCTCGACCAATCAGATTGCTGGAAACTCTTTGCTCAGCTCTGAAATTATACTAAATCCGGATGTGTGTGTGTTTCGCAATACTGGACAAGTCGGAGATGCTCTGAAGCGCGTTATCAAAAATTCAATATAGCCAACATGACGAACTGTCGACAGTACATATGGCCCAGAATTGGAGCTGGAAAGAATTTGTCGCTTTTAGGGGTCGACCATTTAACTTTTGAGGGGGGGGGG